GTTTTCCTGTGTCACTATTATTGTTCTCACCAAAAGTGACTTTACTTTTCAAAGGCTCACCGATGAATTCATAAAGAAAACAAATTTGAACCTTGTTATTGATTTGCCTCATTATTTCATTTATATTTCTCAAATATGTTTGCATAATGTGACTCAAAACATCTGACTGATTTCTCATTCAAATAAAATGAATATCTGGATCGTGCTGATACTGACTTTCTGGCTAATACTAATATGACTAATACCCTAAAATATAAAGAGATTTAACAAATAGCTTTAGGGTTCCTTGTAGACATATACCTCATACATCAATGATCATGATGGCTGGGATGATCAGGGTTGTAGCTTAGTGCATTTGAAAGATGCTAGTAAGAAATACTACAATTGGAAGCAGCAACTCAGTCGTTAAGCAAGTGGTCACTAAGTGAAGTCATGACTGTGCTTATGATTTTACTTCAGTTTTCCTTTGCTTAAAAGACCTGTGGAGGTTGTAGGTGTGAGGATTGGTTGTAAAGTTATTTTTTCATCACTGTCCTAACTGTGAATGGTTACTAAATAAGGCAGTTAAGAAAAGAAGTATATCTGTACTCTAGCCCAGCCATCGCCAACCAGTGGGCCAGTGGTGGGCCATGAGAAAATTTTGGTGGGCCGCAGAGAAATCTCACCCCCAGAGCACCCTCCCAAAGCAATTAATCCAGGCTGCGCAGAAACACAAGCTGTGCTGCCCACATGGCCCACGGGAACCCTCCCCACCCACTCACTCCTTACCCAGCAAACTTGCCTACTAAATTGCTATTTTTCGTTTTTCCAACTTCAGATGTTCTGCTGTAATTAGCTAGGAAGCAGGAAATGGTTGGATTTCTTTCTTTCTAGGTAGTCTTTAGATCTTTGGCTCTGCTTTTAAGCACAGCCGAACCTCCCTTAGGACTGAAGGTTCTATTATTCAGTGCAGACTCATGGCAAGCAAAGTTGAGAGACTGAGCTAGCCAATGGCAGATAGATAGAACACTGAATGATTCTGTGAGCAACTCAATCTGCCTGCCTGCTTTGCCTGATTTTGGGTAAAAGTTGCTCTTTTTAAAAAAATAAAAAATTCAATATTTACATACATGGTGAGTTGTGAGTTAATTTTGTGAGTTTGCTTGCAAGCAAATTTTATGTGACAGACTGAGCTAGCCAATGGCAGATAGATAGATTTCTGAATGAATCTGTGATTCTGTGAGCAACTCAATCTGCCTGCCTTTGCCTGATTTTGGGTAAAAGTGGCTCTTTTTTAATAAAAAAAATCAATATTTATATAAATATTTATAATATTTACATAAAAGCCATGCCCAGCCAGTCACATGACCACCAAGCCACACCCACAAATTAGGCCATGCCCACAGAACCATTTAGTGGTCCCTGGGATTTAAAATTATGAGTTTGTTGGTCTCTGAGGTCCAAAAGGTTGGCCACCCCTGCTCTAACCAACTGGCTAGCTGAAGCTGGGCCTAGAAGAAGGATATAACAGTCTCTATCTCTTTGACTTTTAATACAGCATCTATTGAAAAATACAGGGATATTATATCATAGAACAATACATTTATTTAGATATATAGGTAGGGTAAATCTTGGTGATCATGTAATCAACTTCAGTGGTCAATTCAGCAATGTTGGATATCATCTTTGATAGATGATGTCTACTTCTTTTTAAATATTTCCAGTAATGGATTGCTCATCATTTTCCAAGCTAGCCTGTATCAAGTGAAAAACTGAAAGTCATGGTTAATTTGAGTGTCAAGAACAAGTGCTTAGCTCTGCCTCTAAGCTGTGCTTGTTGAACAGAATGGTAGAAAGTAAGGGAAGCAATGTCATATTTCTCTACACTTGGTAAAATCCACTTGTAACAAGGCCACTTTCTTTTCTCATTTTGTTCCCTTCGTTGTGCCTTTTCTTTTTTTAATAAAAATAAAGATCACATTGAAGTTCTTAAGTTTTTTTATTAGTTTAGTTTTTAAGTTCTTCTCTTTCTAGCTTTCTGACTTGTATTTCTATCTAGAGATTCCAGTAGAACACAAAATATAATAGTTATACACCTGCCCTGTAGGCCCTAATATGGAATACAGTTTTTCTAAGTATGCTGGAGATCAGAAAAGCATATTTAGTGGTATCTTTTAAAAGACAGATATGATTTAACCACACATTTGCATTTGACTTATATACATGCCTCAAACTATTATCTTTTGCAGTAAGCAATGTTATCCAAAGTGCAAAAGGAGACAAGAAATTATAGAAAAAAATAAACCAAATAAATTAAAACATGAGATAAGAAAAAATAGATAAATCTAGTTTGTAGCAATATGAATCACTGTAACTCTCAGTATCTTTCTATCCTTATCAACCATCCTTCTCTCCATGATGCCTTTTGTTCTTTATATTGCTTCCCTCCCATCATAATTGGATCATAAATCCAATCATAAATACCATCCAATAATTTTCTATTTCTCCTTTCCTCTTGTAGTATTCATTCTTCTTTCATATATTTGTTTTGGTATTTAATCCTTATCCATTCTATCTAGCTCTCATTGTGACCAAGTACAGCATTCTTGATCTTATCACTTCTGGTTTTGCTATCTAGGGGACATCATTCCATGCTCAGTATTGAACAATTAGCTTATTATATTAGAAGCCCTATTTACTTCCATCTTATATTGCTATTTTCGCATTCAATGACCAACTTTCACCACCAGATTCATGCAAAAGATTCCTTAATTTAATTCTGTTCACTTACCTTCTATTTTATCTAAATCAACAAATGCATAACATCAGGTTTATACATGTTTCAATGCCTTAGTGACGAATAAAATCTGGCTGGTGCATCACCCAAACATTTTTTTGTCAGAAGGCCCCTGGAAAGGTCATAGAAATGGGGACCACGTGACCCCAGCATGCAGACGCTATTGGAAATGTATGCCATTTGCCAAGCATCCAAATTTTGATTATATGATCATGGGGACATTGCAACAATCGTAAGTGTGGGGAGCAGTTATAAGCCACTTTTTTCAGCACCGTCATAACTTTAAACAGTCGTTAAATAAATGATTGTAAGTCAAGGACTACTTATAGTCAAGGTAGTCCTCAACTTATAGCCACAATTGGGATTGGAATTTTCATTGCAAGTCAGTGCAGTCTTAAAGTGAGTCATCATGTGATTGCATGAAATTGTATAACCTTTTTTTACCATGGATTTTAACAGAATCTGGTTCCCTGAACTGACTTAGCTTGTTGGACGCTGGCTGGGAAGGTCACATATCATGATCCCATAATGGCAAGACTGCAATCATCATAAAGGTGAGCCAGCTGCCATGTGCCTGAATTCAATCATGTGACCATGGGAGTGGTGCAGCAATCATAACTTCAAGGATGGGTCATAAGTCACTTATTCCAAGGATGTTTTCCAAGGATGTTGTAATTCTCAACCATTGTTAAGCAACCATAATCTATATAGGCTAAGAGATTATCTGCTTATATTTAAAAGAATAAATTTATTTTCAAAATGTGAAGGTGTCTGGGGAAATAGAAGGATTCATCAAACTGTTTCTGTTATAATCACAGATTTATGAGTCCTATTTTCAGCACTACATACATGAAAGTAAACATCAGATGTAAGATATTGTTTTTAATAAAGTTTGGACTTGGCTGTGGGTCCAGGGCAATTTAAAAAAGATATTTTGTTTTTAGTGGCTTCACTAGATAAGATTATCTTTGCTGATCATTCTTCCCCTAACCCTGAATCTCTAGCATCATGGTGCGTAGTAAAAGTTGTAATTTCCACAGTTCTCCCAATTATATCTTTCCCTCTTGAATATAGTATGACTCTCTTAGAAACATTTTGGAAGTAGGATTAAAGACTATCAGATAAAGGATGACTTTTTTTTTTCTGCCAGAGTCTTTCATAGACTGATAGAATTCTAGAGGAAAGGCATCACAGGGATCATCTAATTTAATGTTTTTCAATCTTGGCAACTTTAAGATGTGTGAAATTTATTGCCTTGGTTTAGGAACACTGAGCTACTACAATCCTCTTCAATGTGCAGAAAAACCAATTAAACTATTCATGAGAGGTGGCCATCTAGCTGTTCTTAAAAATCTTTAGATATCAACACCTCACAGCCTCCAGATTTAGACTTTTCCATTGCCATATAGATCTTACTATCAGGAAGTTTTCTTTATATAGTCCTAATAATATAATATGCAAATGTAGAGTCACTTAATTCTAGGATATTTCCTCAGCTTAGGAATCAACCTGAAAGAGATCTAGACAGAAGAACATCTATTCTAAATCTTCTGGTTGATCATTAGGTGATTTTCATAAATTGGCAAGGGTTTTTGAGTCCCATTTCTTCAGCAACAAAAGCAGAACATTTTTCTCCATTTAAGTTTGGCTGCTGAAATTTCAAGGACATAAGAAAACTGAAGGTGGATTATGTAACTTTTGGTAGACTTTTTAATAAGAAAAAACTTGGATGCCTTGTGTTTTGGACTGAAGCAGATAGGTTTATGTTCATCATATTTTAAAAAATAATTATTTGCCATTTTCTTTACTTCACACATTTTCATATTATCTATAGTATAAAATATATACTGTAGGTGTTCTCTGAATATGCAGAACCTACTGCTTTACTTTTAGTTATCTCTATTAGGCATTCAATGCATCTATATTAAAAATTATCATTGTTACAAATTACTACTATATTACATAGGGAAAAAGGGACCTAATATACTTGCATGATTATAACACTAATATTTCAGATTGCCTTTTGTTTTCAAGTTCAGATAACAGCAATAATTCTATCTATATCAGGAGTGTCAAACTTGCGTCGTCATGGTGTTGTCACGTGACATATCGCAACTTTTTTCTCTTTCGCTCAGCCAGATGTGGGTGTGGCTAGCGCATGACATATCTGTCCGTGAACCGCGAGTTTGACAGCCCTGATCTACATTGCTTATTTAAATCTTACCTTGCCACAAGCTGTCATGGCCAGAGCCAACTGGTACCACAGATGAAATTCACCAAATGCAAGCTTCATTGCTCGTTCTAAACACTGAGGACAAAAAGTATAGATTATATGTATAAATATGCAGGGGAGGAGGGAGAGAGAGATGGAAGGAGGGGAGATAGTGCATTCAGATAGTGCAGTGTTCTAGGGTTTAAAAACAAAGCACGCATGAAGAAAGGGCTATATGAGCTAGATAAAGAGCACAAATGGGTTCCAATAAAGTGTTTTCAATGCCTACAATTATTAAGATGCAAGCTTGTATAGTTTTCTTTAATGCTGGACTCTAGATATCTCTTCAAAAAAATAACATGCAAAAATAGTTCCAATAGATATAACATATAATGAAGCATATAATATATAATATATTATAAGCATATAATATAATATATAATATAATATAAGCAAACACTTATATTTTGAGGGGAGCCTTAATGTTTACAAAATTTGCAAATTAAAAGTTTGCAAATTTAGCAAATGTATAAAAAGGGGGACCCAGAAATACAAAATGTATTTCACCTGGTATACCGATTGCATCCTCTCTTGGACCAGGAAACCCTTAGTCACTCATGTCTTAATCATCTCACAGGTTGACTATTTCAATGAGATCTACATTGGTTTTACCCTGAAAGACAATTTAGAAACTCCAAGTTTTCCTGAATGTGATAATTATTCTCTGCAAGTTGTATTGGTTGCTAGCTTGCTTCTATCAAGCCAATATGAGCTGACAGGGTTGGCATGTTCCAGGTTCCTTCAATCAAATAAAGTCATCTATCAGGACCCAGGAAACATATCTCTTCTCTGTCATGGCATCTGCCTTCTGGAGTGCTGCTGCCTCTGAGAATCAGATGGCTCTCACCCTGATCATGTTCTGGAGAGTCTTAAAGACCTGGCTGTTCAGTCAGGCCTTGGAGTGAAGTGGCTGGAACCTCCTGATAGTGGTATGTGTTCTGTGTGGTTTGCTGGATTCACTATCTCATTCCTTTCCTACTTTTCTAGTCTGGTTCACCTGTTTTATTATTTTGTTTCATATTTTGCTTATTCTAGTGTGAGCCACTTTGAGGTTGGATGGCACCAAATAAATAAATAAATACCTCAGAAAGCATGACATATTGTCCTCTTCTGCCCAGAGTGATACTCAGAAGATCATAAACTGCTGATGTACTTTGGAGACTGATGGCTCGATCATCTTTCTGATCAGGAGCCCGGCTGATTACTGCATCCTGGTTTGCCTGGGAATGAATTGAAATGTTTTAAAAGAGGACCAAAAGTATCTTAGAAAGGTCTTCAGCTTTTTTTATGGGCCCAAGAATACATTGCAGCAAGTGTTGTTTTCAAGACTATTTCAAAAAGGCAGATTACAAAGAAAAAGCCAAGAAACAGTACAGTATTATCATATATTGAAAAAAATGTGAACTCATAATAATAGTCATAAGTCTTTTTGCAATGTCTGTTCTTCTCTGAACTGACATTCAAGCATAATTATCCTGCAATTAATCCTATTATTTCTTACTTACCTTTGCACATCATTTTAGTCTATGCAACACTTAATGCTCCCAATCTATGAGTCTTAGGGTTGTTTTACACTACAACAGTCCTTTTCAAATTCACACTTGGTTTTATTTCGGAAATAAATAGAAACATAATATATCTAACTGGTTATATGCCACTCTAAAAATCCCTCAATAACAAAGAGGTCCAAAAATAGCAACTGTGTTTGAGCAACATATGTGAAAGAAAAACCTTGCTGGATTAAATCCAAGGCCTAGATGAATCCAACTTGTTTTTTCAAACAGCAGCCTCTGGGAAGCCCACATACAGGATGGAGTATAGCAACCTTCTCCCACTGCTATTCCTCAACAACTGATACAACAGAGGCATCAGCCACTGAATATAATTTTAACATGAGGTGCAGAACTTAAGACTCCTGAGCCAAAGACAGATATCAGGCCCACTTCCTTCAGATATTGCTTTGTTCAAATAGAAAACAACTGTACCTGTGTCTAAATCTATATTGTCCCTGGATGAATCTATATCTGTCCCCCATATGAATAATTACTTGGGATTTGTTTTCAATATGGGGGCTGATGGCTCTGTTTAATTTCTGTTCATGGTTTTATTATTACTGAAAGATGGCTGTAACCACTGTGGCAGTAAAATTTATGTGGATGGGATGGTCATTTTTGCCAGCTCTGAGATATTTTGGAGGTCACTTAGCTCAGCAAGAGCCAAGAAAATTGAAAGTGGAAAGCTTGTGTCTGGCTGTTTGCTAATTTTGCATCCAAAGTCTTGGTTTATTTTCATCCACTATCTTACAGAGTTTTATGTTTGCATAATTGTTAGTACTACACAATCTGCACAGCATTTCATCTTATATCCTCTTCCTGAATTTCATTATTTAACATTTCAGCAAAAGAAAAACCCCAAGTAAAGAAATAAAATTGATTGAGAGATAATATATTACTAATTTCTAACGTAATTCTGGCAGACGAAGCTAACCATCTGGTTGGTTGGTTGGTTTTTATACAGTAAAGAGTAAGCAAACCATTCACCATCCAAAACCAGATCTGAAATTTTAGGGGGGAAATGAGCGGGAGGAATTTCGGTGGGTTTTTGTTTTGTTTTGCTTTTTTGTGATTTTAACTATGATCTACATATTTTAGTTCTTACACTATAATTTTTACCTCTTCCCATCCCAACATGGCAGGAAACCGACCATTAGTGTTCAGCTTGTAGAACCACAAACAAAACTGTGTGAGAAAGACATATATAACTTATTTGATGAAGGATAAGAAAAGAAAGTTGCTTTGGAAATTATTCTTTTGTGCATCATAATCAACAGTACTTCTTTATCTCAGAGTAAAGGAAAATTTAAAAGACACACACTGAGATATGTCGAGATGTATAGATGTACATAATAATCAACAGTGTTAATTAACATCTTTCCATTTTGTATACTGTACTATTTAAAAGTTTCTCCATCAGTAACAGTGCTGCACTATTGATTTGTGAAAAATAGCTGCACTGAACAAACCCCCACATGTTCTGAAAACTGGTAATCAGCCTCACATCAGAGTCAGCTATTTTGAGCATTTGTCAGTGATCCAAACTAGGAACATTAAAGCAATGCCTTAGCACAGAGTGCCTTAGCAGATAAAATATTCACTTGAATGAGCAAATTACCATAATTTGGGGGATTACCAAAAAATAAAAGATATATGTAACGCCATCTAAAGACTTGGTGAAATATGGGACAGACTGGGTATTGTGCAAAGGGAACACAACTAGAGTTCAAATCCCAGGAATCCGTCCAAAATACCAAAGTGAAATTCAGAAATCCACAAAAAGATCCAGCAAACAAAAAAAGAAAACAACAAATGGAGCAGATTGTAATTCCATATGTTGCAGGAATATCTGAAAATCTCAGGAGCATTTTCAATATACAGGCACATTTTAAAGTTAATTATACTTTAAGGCAGAAGCTTGTCCACCCCAAGTACAAAACACCAGACACAAATTTAGCAATGTGGTGTACGCAGTGCAATGCAGCAAGACATTTGTAGACCTGTAATTGGGGAAACAAAACAGCCACTTCACAAATTCAAAGCAGAACACAGGAAAACAAAATCATCGGGACAAGATTTAGCAGTCCATCTGAATTTGAAAGACAAAGCACTCTTTTGAAGACACCAAAGTCCACATTCTGGACAGCGAGGGATCAAAGAGGCCATCTAAGTCAAAACTGAACAGCTTTTGTTCAGTGAGATAAACCTTCAAGTGGCCTTAACAACTCTCAGAGTGCTAATGACCAAATAACTACAAAGAATATAAATCCTTCCATTCCCCACCAGTCAGTTAGAACTGAAGAAGCTTCTTGATTGAGAAGTGAAACATTTTCAAGTCCAGTTGCCTTTTGGAAAAAGCACCTTTGGGACAACCACAACCTGGATGATTGAGGCTCTATATTGGCATTTATCAGAGTGAAACAAAGTTCATAGTCTTTCTACACATAAACGTATTTAATTTCTCTTCATTTCAGAATTCATTAATGGGAAGACAAGAAGAGCATAATTTGCTAAAAATTACACTCAGATTAAGTAAACGGGAGATACCAACCATATAGCTCAATTATATGCATTGGCAGCATGTAGCAGATACAGGACATGGTAACAGATAATCAGAGTTGGAAGGGACCTTGTAGGTCATCTAGTCCAACCCCCCACCCAAGTGGGAGACCCTACACCATTTCTGACAAATAGCAGTCCAGTCTCTTCTTGAAAGTCTCAAGTGATGGTGCTCCCACAACTTCTGAGGGCAAGCTGTTCCATTGGTTGATTGTTCTCACTGTCAGAAAGTTTATTCTTATTTCCAGGTTAAATCTCTCCTTGTTCAGTTTCCATCATTATTCCTTGTCTGGCCTACAGGCACTTTAGAAAATAGCTTGGCCCCTTCATCTCTGTGGCAGCCCCTCAAATATTGGAAGACCACTATCATGTCTTCCCTGGTCCTTCTCTTTACTAGACGAGCCAAGCCCAATTCCTGTAACCGTTCTTCATATGTTTTAGTCTCCAGTCCCCTAATCATCCTGGTTGCTCTTCTCTGTACTTTTTCTAGAGTCTCAACATCTTTTTTGTAATGTGGTGAACAAAACTGGATGCAGTACTCTAGGTGTGGTCTTACTAAGGCTTTATAGAGTGGCATTAGTACTTCCCTTGATCTTGATTGTATCCCTCTGTTAATACAACTTAGGATTGCATTAGCTTGTTTGGCTGCTGCTGCATACTGCTGGCTCATATTTAGCTGGTTGTCCACTAGGACTCCAAGATACCTCTCCCAGTTCCCGCTATTGAGCCTGGTTTCACCCAGTCTGTATGAGTACTTTTGGTTTTTCTTGCCTAAATGTAGGACTTTACTTTTCTCTACATTGAATTTCATTTTGTTAGATACGGCCCAGTGTTTTAGTCTGTCAAGATCCATCTGGATCTTGAGCCTATCTTCTTGGGTGTTAGCTATTCCTGCCAGCTTAGTATTATCTGCAAATTTGTTAAGTTCCCCTTCTATTCCCTCATCTAAGTCATTAATGAAGATATTGAAGAGTACTGGGCCTAAGACAGAACCTTGTGGCACCCCACTGCTTACTTCCCTCCATGTAGACTTAGACCCATTAAGGACTACTCATTGAGTACGGTTTGCCAGCCAGTTGCAAGTCCATCTAGTGGTGGTGCTATCTATTCCACTTTTCTCTAGCTTACTAAGAAGTAGGTTGTGGTCTACTTTGTCGAATGCCTTGCTGAAATCTAAATATATTATGTCCACAGTATTTTGCTGGTCTACTAATTTAGTCACTATGTTGAAGAATGAAATAAGATTGGTTTGGCATGATCTGTTCTTAACAAACTCATGCTGACTGCTAGTTATTACTTTACTTGTTTCTAGATGTTGGCAGATCTGTTTTATTATTATCTTTTTATTATCTTTTCCAGTATCTTTCCAGTATTGATGTTAGGCTGATTGGTCTATAGTTTCCTGGGTCTGTTTTTTTCCCCTTTTCTGAAGATGGGAACCACATCAGCTCTTTTCCAGTCCTCTGGTAGTTCCCCGGTGCTCCAGGATTTTTGAAAGATATGGTGCAGTGGTTCTGAGATGACCTCTGCCAGCTCCTTTAAAACTCTGGGATGTAATCCATCAGGCCCTGGTGATCAGACAGGTGTTCTCTTAATATTTTTTTGCTTATTTTAAGTTTTATTTCTGGCCTGTCTTTTACAGTTATGTTTTTGGTGGGTTGAGCTATAGTTTCTTTTTGCCTGAAGACCAATGCAAAGAATGAGTTAAGCAGTTCTGCTTTCTCTCTGTTGCCTGTTACTTCCTTGCTGTCTTCTCTCTTAGTTCTCTCTGTTTCCTTGATTTTTTTCTTGTTATTTATATGTTGGAAGAAACTTTTTTTACTATCTTTGACTCTTGTTGCAAGTCTTCGTTCGTTCTGAGTTTTTGCTATCCTGACTTTGTCTTTGCAGATTCTGGCTATCTGCTGATATTCTGCCTTAGTTGTATGTCCTTCTTTCCATTTTTTGTACTTGTCCTTTTTTTCTTTCAATTTGCCAGAGAGATCTATGTGCAGCCATGCTGGTTTCTTCTTGGATTTCTTGTTTTTCTTTCTCAGTGGTATTATGCTGGTCTGGGCTTCTATGACCATACTTTTCAGAGTTTCCCAAGATTCTTGAGTTGTTTTCCC